TGCCAATCCGAAGCCAGGAGCCAGGAACTTCTTCTGGGTATCCCACACGGGAGCAGGGTCCCAAAGCTTTGGGCCGTCTTCGACTGTTTTCCCAGGCCACAAGCGGGGGAGCTGGAAGGGAAGTGGAGCTGCCAGGATTAGAACCGGTGCCCATATGCGCCCGGCACATGCAAAGCAAGGACTTTTGCTCCTAGGCCGTGGTGCCGGGCCCTGTGTGTTTTAGTCTTGGCTTCCTTTTTATTATAGTAGAAGTCAGACCACTTTATCAGTAGGATTTACGTTGTGTGAGCTTGTTGTGTTACAGATATGTGTAAGCCTGAGCCTGGTGGCATGATGGCTTACATAAAGATTAGTAGATGTTTTCCACCTGAATGTCTCCAGGAGGCGTTCTGCTGTCTTGTTTCTTGAAGTTCCACCAGGCCTGCTTTCCCCATTTCTGCTGCTTGCCTTGCCCAGGGAAGCATGTGTAGTGCCTTGAAAATTAGCCCATTATTTTCATACTAGGGAGTTACTAAATAAAATTCAGTAATTGTAATGTCATTTTCACTTAGGTTCCATGTGTTAATTTTGGTTTGCTACATTATATATAGAAAAATTATTTAACTGTCAAAAGTTAGAATTTAAAGAATGTTTTAGCTCACTGGAAATCTGCATGTATTTTTAAGCACCTAGACTATGCATGAAGAAGGGCTGGTGCTGCTCGTGGAGCTGGGGTTTCCCCTCTTGGTGGTCTGGTTTCTGATGTACATTTAATACTAACTACTGAAATCAAGAAACAGTAGTTTGATAAATATTGGTCAAATGATGAAACATTTCAGGTCTCCTTTTCAAAAAGATTTATTTTTATTGGAAAAACAGATTTACAGAGAGAAGAACAAACAAGTCTTCCATCCACTGGTTCACTCCCCAAGTGGCCACAGCGGCCAGAGCTGAGCCAGTCTAGAGCCAGAACCTTCTTCCTGTTCTGCCACATGGTGGCAGGTCCGAGGCTTTGGGACATTCTCCAGTGCTTTTGCAGGCCACACATGGAGCTGGATGGGGAGTGGGGCAGCTAGCGTGCGGCTACAACTCAGTTGGTTCTGTGTATGTAAACAAATGGTTCTTAAACTTCTCTACTGTTACTCATGATTTTTTCACGTTTTAAAAAATGTTATAGGTATTTTTTTTAAAAGATTTATTTTATTTTTATTGGAGAAAAAGATATACAGAGAGGAGGATAGAAAGTGAGGAAGATCTTCCGTCCGATGATTCACTCCCCAACTGACCGCAACAATGGGTGCTGCACCAATCTGAAGCCAGGAGCCAGGAACTTCTTCCCTTCTGGGTCTCCCACGTGGGTGCAGGATCCCAAGGCTTTGGGGCTGTCCTCTACTGCTTTCCCAGGTCACAAGCAGGGAGCTGGATGGAAAGTAGAGCTGCCAGGACTAGAACCAGCACCGATATGAGATCCTGGCACGTTCAAGGCAAGGACTTTAGTCACTAGGCCATGCTGCCAGGCCCTGTTAAGGTATTTTAAAGTGGAACATTAACTTTTAAAACCTTTGTTTTTATTTGAAAGGCACGGGTGGGGAGGGGAAAAGAGATGGAGGAGATGGACAATCTTCCATCTGCTGGTTCTTTTCTGAAGGTCCACAAGTACTTCTCTGGTCCAGGCTGAAGCCAGAAACTCAGTAAGGTCTCCCATGCAAGGGACATTTTGAGCTGTCACCTGCTGCCTCTCTTCCAAGAGGTACAAATTAGCTGGAAGCTCGAATCAGAAATGAACCCATGCGCTAAGGCTTCAGGCATCTCTAGTGATGTCTTAACTGCTGTGCTAAGCACCTGCTCTAAAGCTTGTGTGTGGGATCTTGGGGACACCAGCAGTCATTGCCCCGGTGGGAGTCTGCATGCTGTCCTTGCTGCTGCAGACCTGAAGGTCTCCTCCTTTGACTGAGGACTTGCCAAGACTGGAAGCCTGTGCTAAAGGAGGAGCAGTGCTTCGCTGCCCCGCCCAGTCACCTCCACAGGTGGCTAAGCGATGGGACTGCATGCTAATTCCTGACCTCTCTGCACCTGCAGCTTTCTTTAGCGTTTCACTTACCTCTTTGCAGTCCCAGCTTGGATGCGGCTTATGGGATGCAGAACAGAGAATCATACTGTGAGTTTGCTGTTTCTTTTTCAATTGTCTTTGGCTCCTTTGATGACATATATATTTTGGAGCATACTTATTGTTTGTAACATTTATCGACATCTGCCAAATCTCTTTTCAACTGGGCAAAACAGCCTTCAGACTTTGTACCTTTATCAGGCGGCTGAGCACTGCTTAATGTTAGCTAGTATTTCATAATACTGTAATTGTTTTGGTAATGCTTTCTTCTTGGTGCAAATGATAGACTTTGTGTTTTTAATAGGTTGTAACCCTCCCCCCTGCCTTTTAAGCACAGGTGGTTTTTAAGTGCTGAGGGAACCAGGAAGTACCCTCAGGGCTGTTTGAGGAAGTGAGACAGGGAAGGTAAGGGCCCTGGGAGGCCCTTGTGGAGCTCAGTTGCACTGGACAGTGTTTCAGAACTGTCTCCCATAAGGGCAGGAAGAGCCTCTGTGGTTGTCATCCTGAGTCCTGTGTGGCCTTGATCATCCTGCGGTCAGATCCCTGAGGCTCGGTGCTCCCAGGAGTGAACAGGCTGAACAGCCAGGGCACCCACATGGTCTCCTCTACTTCAGACAAAACAGGCTTTCCCTGTAGTCTTTTTCATCCTTGTGCGTGACAGCTCCATCCTCTGGTGCTTGGGCCAAAAACTTTGGAGTGAAATTTGACACGTTTCTGCATTTTTATATGTAACCCATCAGGAAATCTTGTTGGTTTTACCTGTAAACATTTCAGGATCTGGGACTGGCACCGGGGTGTAGCAAGCTAAGCTTCCACCTGCAGTGCCAGCATCCCATATGGGGACCAGTTTGAGTCCCAGCCACACCACTTCCTGTCTAGCTCCCTGCTAGTGTCCTGCACAGGACAGAGTAGTGCTTGAGCCACTGCACCAATGAGGGAGACCTGGAAGAAGCTCTAGGCTCCTGGTTTCAGACTGATTTACTTGCTGCCATTTGGGAAATGAACCAGTGGATGGAAGATCTCTCTTTCTTTCTCACTGTGTGTTCCCTCTCTGTAGTTCTACCTTTCCAATAAAAATAAAAGCATTTCAGAATCTGCCTTCTCCTTGTCATCCTCAGGACCACCACCTGGCCCAGTCCTGCCGTCAGCTCCCCTCTCCTCACACAGTTTGTTCTCTGTCCAGCAGCTGGAAGTTTGCATGTGCAGCCCAAGCAGAGTACTTACTCTGCTCAGAACCTTCCTGAGGCCTCCAGGGCTCAGAGTAAAGCAGAGTGAATGTAGCGTCCTGTAAGGCCCTGTGTCACCTAGCCTCTTGTTTGCTGCCTCATGTGTTTGCACACGTGTGTGTCCATGAACATTTCTTTCTGATTTTCCTTCTCATACTCTTCAGTGGGGGCTGTGTGATTCATTGTAATCAGGTTTATGTCTCATAGATTGCATTCTATCTTTACCACCACAGGCTGGCTGCTTTTAAAAAATTTTGCATGCATTGATTTACTTAATGCAGTACGGTTGTGTTGAGAAGTGTATGATGTTTTATATTCACTCCCAAAGGTCCCCACAGAGCGCTCCATTGCACTGGAATGTCCCATACAGTCCCCGTACAGCCTTTCAGCTCCTAGCAGCTGCAGTTCTCACCCCCGTGGTTCTGCTTTTGTGGCTATCTTACAACCTTTGGGTCTGGCAGTCTTTTCCTTAGCACAATGCATTTAAAATTATACCATATTGTATGAATTGGTACCCCATTCCTCAAATAACCATTAAAATAATTGTAAGTAAAAGCAAAACTAAACTAGAAATGATGCTGATGGTACACAGGGAAAAGACATGGGTCTGAATGGCTGAGGTTTGGAAATAGTGCTGTAAGCGGAGGTTGCTGGGAAAAGCGCTGTTTTGCCTGGTGCCTGTGCCGAGACCTAGCTATATACTCTTTTGAGAAGTCACACTCATCTCGACTCCTCAGTTGTTGGCTCCCATCTTCTGGGGTGATTGCTCCTGATGATATAGTTTGTCCATGGGTGTCCCTTTCTTAACATTGGTATATTTCTCTTGTGGAGTGTCTGTCACTCCTGATGGTTAGGAGCAGCTGTTGTAACTGTTCTGGGAGCCTGTGCCGGTGAAGCAGTAAGAGCCTGTCCAGCACAGTAGGGTAGGCCTTCGATGGAAGGTTGCAGACAGTGGCTTTTGGGAGCTCAGCAAGTTGAAGAAAGGGAGAATCAGATGGAGCAGCTCTGGTTGGGTCTCAGAGGTGCCGGTGCTGCCACGGGTCTCGGCATGAGTGTTGTCACTCTCGTGCCTATAGCATTTCCCCATAGTCCTTTGTTAATGTACCTTTTCCCAAGGATGTCTACGGTGATTGCTCATGGCATTCAGTTTCCTAGAACTTGGCTGTGGCTCACTGGTTGACCATAGGGTCTGTGTGTTTGGGGGACAGAGCATGTTTGAGAATGATGATGGTGACAGAACCTTTAAAAAAAAAAACAAACCTGGGATGGAAACCAGTGATATTTGCTGCTTTAATTGTGACTTTGGAAGATGGGCAGATTCATAATAATTCCTTTTAAACTCACGATTAATGGCTGTTTAGCATGTCTAACCAGATGGCTTTTCACAAAGTTTAAAATACATTTTTTCGTGTTTTTCTGAGAAGCAGACAGAAACAGAGCTCCCATCCATCCCTGCCTCACGCTCCAGATGCCCACATTGTCAGGGCTGGCTGGCGGGGGCTCAGCACACAGGCCAGCTCTTGTACAGGGTGTACCAGGGTCTGCATGGGTGGGAAGCTGGTGTTTCTTAATTTGAAGTGGGATAATTAGATATGGATGTCACTGTGGAGTCAGGCTGCAAGAATGCTGTGATGTGTGGTGCTTTCTGTGTGGCACCTCGTGATGTTTGTTTCTCCTTTGACTTTCAGTGATGAATGTTATAACTATTGAAGATTACAAGAGCACATACTGGCCCAAGTTGGATGGTGCCATAGATCAGCTGTTAACCCAGAGTCCGGGCGACTACATCCCCATCTCCTATGAGCAGATATACAGGTAAGTCGGGGCTGAGTGGGCGTGGCCGGGAAGATGCACGGATGTGTAACTAACAGCACAGCTGTGTTGTTAGTGAGGCTGTGTATGCCTGTACCCTCTGTGTGTTGATTGGAGGTGTGCCTTATACCTTTTGAGTGGAGTGATTTCCAGGTCATGATAGAGTCAACCAGTCTGAGATCCTCGCCTCATCTTGGCACTCATCTCGCCCAGGAGGCAGACACTGTGGAGGTCAGCTAGGTGCAGGGGTACATGGATTGTCTCAGAGGGAGACTCTAGGTTAACCTGTTGCTGCTTCTTGACACACAGTTTTTTTTCCCCAAATCAATGTTTCTATTAAATCAAGTTAAAAGTTCACTGTAGGAAAGTGAATAAGGGTTTAACAAAACCAAAATATACCTTTTTAAACAATATGTGTGTGTATATATAAAAGCAACAAACTACTGCGATTTTCTTTTATATTTAGTGTTTTAAAAGAAAGTGTAAACAGTGCAGTGGTTTGGAATGTCATGTGATCCACTCTTCATCCTTGCCTTCCACAAGTACTTTATGAGTCACAGTAGAATACCAAGCACCCAGTTTCGATGAAAAAGTAGTGAAACAGATTGGTAGAATCTGTATCATTATTATCATAGTCATGCTTCTTGTGAAAGTAACAAATGAGCAGCATTTAAACAGGTAATTTGGTGTGTGTAAACTCAAGTCTTAAGATATGTAATACCAGCCAACTAAACCACATAGCATTTGACTTTTTTAAACGTTTAGTGATACACAGAATTTATATATCAAATCTGATAAATAATTCAGTCCCATTTTGCCAACTCATTTTTAAAATCCTTGACAGAAATTCAGCCTGACAAACTCAAGTATATAAATGTGCATGTGTGTACACATATAATATCTGAATGTGTATCTGAAATACACATGTGCTGTATATATTCACATACATATTTTTTAGTATATTTCACTTATGAATCAAATGAGTGAAATCATCTGTTCATCAAATAAATGTTTATCTTAATATTTTCTAATAGAAAAAGAAAATACCTTAACACTGAGTTTTAAAGAAATCTCACTAGTCTTCAAAAATACTGTTTTATATGAATACAATTTTTAAGTATTCAGTTATTCATTTAGAATCTGTATTTTAAAACTTTGCTTTGGGTATTCCTTAAGTCACCATTTGCAACTCTTACCTGGCTCAGATTTCTTAGATTTATATCAATTTTATCTTTCAGAATTTGCTACTCTGTGTTACCTGTGAGCAAACTGCACAAAATTCCAACAACTTAAAAATGAGAAATTCGATATGGACAAATAGTTCTAACTCTGTTTGTTTTGTTCCTCAGTTCCTGGTAAATGGAATGAGTAAATAACAGAATGGGGTGGGCAACTTTGTGTGACACACCTTCTTATGCTGATGCTCATTAGAAAAGCAAGGAGAGCACCTGGCTGAATTGTTGCTATGTTCAGACTATAGATTTATCACCCGCTGTTAGATTACCTAGTAGTGATTAAAAAATGTAATCGACTCTTGGCAAAGATATCATTTGTCCTTGTTTTTCCTCTTTTCAACCTGAACATTGATTGGGAGAGAGTCAATTTTAATTTCAGAGTTGTAACCAGTCACTTTTTAGGCCTGAACTGATGATTTGAACAGTGGCTGTGCGTCAGTATAGTGCTTTAACTCTGGCCTGGGTTAAGTGCTTTGTCATTCACTTGGTTGTTGTTTGTTTTCAGTTGTGTGTATAAGTGTGTGTGCCAGCAGCACTCGGAACAGATGTACAGTGATCTGATCAAGAAGATAACCGATCACTTAGAGAGAGTCTCCAAGGAGCTGCAGGTAAAGGACGGCTGCGTGATGCTTGCTTCCTTGGGCCTTTTCACTGGTTGGAATTATCCTGTCTAATACATTGACTGTGGTGCAGGTTTATATGTCATTGAATAAGTGTTGACCGAATCATCTAATCTTGAAATAGATTGTGCGTTTAAAGGTTTAACAAATTGTGGAGATGTTTAGATTGACTATATTTCCAGACCTTTATTGAGCCCAATGATTAACATGTCATCATTTCTTTTATTTAAAACCTTAATTTTCTCTTAATATTTTGTGATTGTTATAAGAATATGTGTATATGTTAACTTTTCTCTGAAACTTCTGCCTCCTTAATTTCTAATATTTGTTGGGGTAAATAACCAAAGGTAATATTTTATTGCCAGTCCCTGTAGGTGAACAGATTTTGCTCTAAATCTAGGATACATAATAAAAGGTCTTTAAAAAATTATTTGAAAGAGTTAGAGGGAGAGAGATTTTCCAAGTTCTGCAGCAGCAGCTGGGTGTGAGCAAGACTTGAAGCTAGGAGCCACGAATTTGCTTCAGGTCTCCCACTTGGGGGGCAGGGGCCCAAGTACTTGGGCATCTTCCATTGCTTTTTCCAGACCTTTAGCAGGGAGCTGAATAGGAGCAGCTGGGACGTGAACTGGTGCCTACATAGGGTGGCTTCACCCTCAATGCCACAACGGCGGCCCTGACAGAGGGTCTCTTGCTTCAAGGAGCATCTGGACTCTTGATTCCTCTGAGTAAAGCTCCCAGGGCTTGAAGGTCAGCTGCTATGTTTATGTCATCACCAGATCCTGTTTTAGTTGTGGTGTAGAAGTAACATGATATCTAAGATACACTTTGGCAGTAAATTTCCACACCCACAATCAGAAGGCGTTGTAATAATTCTGAAATAATCACAATTTCTAGCAAGTGCTAGAGTGTTTCTGGGCTTCAATACTCTTCCTCATTTACTTTATAGACTGAAGTATCCTAGTCTGATTTACCAAAAACTCTTGTCCTAACTAGCTTTTATTTTTCTTCAGTAAATCAATCAAATATATGGTTTGACAGTTGTTAGTATTCACTAAATACAAAGTTTTTAGTAATTTTGTATTTTGAACCTAGGCATTGTATATAAATTATAGGTGAAACTTGCAGATTATTCATAGACTCATGCTTTCAGATTTATGTATTTGTTGTGAAAGAGTGCCTGAGCGAGGAGCAGGGATGTTGCATAGGTTCTCACTTGGTCCGCCTCCTGTCCTCTCCAGAACCCTTGCCCAAGCTCCTTCATTCCCTGCTGACTGTAACCTTCTGTTTACTTGACAGTGCCCTCGTCCGGGTCACCGTCATCTCAGATGTTTTAGGAAAATGCCTGTCTCAGCTGCTTGCCCTGCCTTATTAATTTGCCTTGATGTATTTGACCAGTTTTTGGTGGAGTGCTTACATGTGTCTGGTTTGGGGGTGTTGCTGAGAGTGCTGCAGTGAGTGGTGAGTCCTGTACATCGTGCCATTCACGATACTGCTCCCACCACTCCCATGGCAGTGTCTGTTCCTCTTCACCCCGGTGATGCAACATGTGATGAAATTTAGTAATTTTTACTTTTATATTGGAGGGGGATGATTTTTTTTATTAAAGATTAAAGCATAAATTGGTATCTTGTGGATCACAACTATCAATAAAGGTACAGGTGATGAATGACGTGAAACCAGAGGGTGTGGTTTATTTCTGGAATCAGAATGTGTCTGATTTGAGCAGTGCTGCCCTATACAAATGTTTGTTTTCCTTCAAAATGCTCTCTTTTGCAAGATTATACGGTCTGTAACTATTCTTAATAGAGTAGAGTGACCGGAAACACTAGAGCCTGGGTGGGACTCTGACCTCAGTCCTGTCACTCAGCAATTGTGTGCTTATTGTCTAAGTGTGCTAACATCATCTTACGGAGTCTGTCAACATGAAAAGGAAATGGCTTGGGCCTGGTGCTGTGGCCTAGCAGCTAAAGTCCTCGCTTGAACCCACCGGGATCCCTTATGGGCGCTAGTTTTAATCCCGGTTGCCCCACTTCCCATCCAACTTCCTGCCCAAAACTTGGGACCCTGCACCCACATGGGAAACCTTTAGGAGGTTCCTGGCTCCTGGCTTCGGATTGGCCTGGCACCAGCCATTGCAGCCACTTTGGGAGTGAATCATCGGATGGAAGATTTTCCTCTCTGTCCTCCTCTCTATATATCTGACTTTCCAATAAAAATAAGTAAATAATTAAATAAAAAGAAATGGCTTTACTAAAATATCTGTAATTCCTTATACTAAATTGTGAGGTCATTTTCCCCTCTGCTTCTGGCCTGGCAAATGCTTTCTCATTCATTTTTAGTAAACTCCCTTTTGTGCACCCTTGTAAAGTCGTCCTGGAACTCCTGCCTTGCCCGCAAAGTAGAACAGAACGCATTTTTGGCATTTTTTTCTGTGAACTCGGCATCTTGGCAGTGCAGTGTTACGCGGACAGTGATGGGGTTTGATTAGTCCTGGTTCTGTGTTTTCTGCCGCACAGGCCTTCCTCTGAGGGCGGGGCCTGTGGTCTTGTTTTCTCCCTGGTGTCTGGCAGGATTACAACTTAGCAAACGTTTACTGGATGAATGCTTAGCAGCTAAATTTGACCTATCACGGTAGAGCGAGAAGAATAGTCAGGCTCAGATGACCGCTTATCTCTGTTTTTCAGACGCTTGGGTGCTTTCTTAATTCATGCAGCATTTCAAGTATGTGGCCTGACACTGTGAGCTTTGTTTCATGGAGACCTTAGGGCAGCTGTTGTAAGGGGACAAGAGGACATGGCTGTCCTTATCAACCAGAAACGATCAGGTGGAGCGTTTTGTATATAGCTCTGGTTTTCATAATGAAATGGAGCTGTGACCCAGTGCAGGAGTGGGGGTGCACTGCATTTGGCACATAACCTAAGTTTAGTCACGGAGTTAAATGAATCAGTGAGTTGACCCTACCAGGATGTGAGCCTGTGCCGAGGGCATCTGAACCAGCTTCGGGGGGAACAGTTCTTATGTCAGACTGTGTCTCTATCCCAAAGCGTCCTCTTGTGGGGGAAATGCAGAATATTATGTGAAAGAATGTTTCATGTTTCCCAGTTAACTTCTGCTGTTGAATTAAACAGAGTGTTGGTTTTGGTGAATTTTTTGAAAGATTTATTTATTTATTGGAAAGGCAGATATACAGAGAGGAGGAGAGACAGAGAGGAAGATCTTCCATCCGATGATTCACTCCCCAAGTGAGCGCAACGACCAATGCTATGCCGATCCGAAGCCAGGATCCAGGAACTTCTTCCGGGTATCTCACACGGGTGCAGGGTCCCAAAGCTTTGGGCTGTCCTCGACTGCTTTCCCAGGCCACAAGCAGGGAGCTGGATGGGAAGTGGAGCTGCCAGGATTAGAACCGACGCCCATATGGGATCCTGGCGCGTTCAAGGTAAGGACTTTAGCCGCTAGGCCACGCCGCCGGGCCCGGTTTTGGTGATTTTTACAATATTAATGTATCAGATCTAATTATTTTATATGAATGCATAATCTAACTTGTTGTGTCTTGTTGTGTCTTTGAAAAAAAAACACAGTTCTTTCATTCTGGAAATAATTCCTTTTCCAATAATTTGGTGACTTTAGAAAATGTCGTTCTTGTTGTTACAGTAATAGAATCATTTCACATATAGCTAAACTCAGTATTCTCTTTCTGTTATGTTCCACTGGATGTTTTTCTTTCCTTTGGCTTGTTGTTGGATTTTTTTTAAAGATTTATTTTTATTGCAAAGGCAGATATACAGAGAAGAACATCTTCTATCCAATGATTCACTCCCCAAGTGGCCACAATGCCTGGAGCTGTGCTGATCTGAAGCCAGGAGCCAGGAACTTTCCCCAGGTCTCACACGGGTGCAGTGTCCCAAGGCTTTCGGCTGTCCTCAACTGCTTTCCCAGGCCACAAGCAGGGAGCTGGGTGGGAAGCGGCGCTGCCGGAATTAGAACCAGGGCTCACATGGCATCTTACCGTGTTCAATGTGAGGACTAGGTGCTAGGCCACGGCACCAGGCCCTGCTGGATTAATTAAAACTGGTGATATATTTTGTCCTAACTTTTTTTCAATTGTTATTCTCCTCTCCAGTCTTAGTTCCTCTTTTCTTTGAATGTGATCGTGAGTTCTGTATTTCTTTTTGCCTATCATCTCCAGAACTTCAAAGCACGAATTTTCTATTTTTCTGTGTACAGATGAATGGAAATGGGTGACCATGGAGAGAAAATTGGGCTCCAGTTGAGTAAATAACACTGGTTAGTTTTGGAATGGCGCAGGCTCGGCCCTCCCCCTCCCTGCCTGTGCATTTGGTGGCTGCTTGTGAAGGTCTCACGTCTGACTCGATGCCCCTTCGTTCAAAGCTGTTTCTGTCTCACGCTTTAGATTGCATCTTCATCTGTGACTCCTATTTCTGTGGTGCCTCAAGGAATTAGACAAAGATTAGCAAGTGAAATTAAAAGTCCCAATTCACAATTTCTGTTAGTAGTAGACAGGCCAAAAAATAGGGAACTGTGAGTGAATCAGTGTAGGAAAGGTGCAGCTGGCATGGTAGGAAGGTGGACTGGCATGGTAGGCTTGGTTTACATGTGCAGCACCAGTTGTGTCCTGGCTTCTCCACTTCCCATCCAGCCCCCTCCTTATGGCCTAGGACAGCAGTGGAGGGTGGCCCAATGCCTTAGGACCCTGCACCCACTTGGGAGACCCAGCAGAAGTTCCTGGCTCCTGGCTTCCAGTTGGCTCACCTTTAGCCATTGTGGTCGTTTGGGGAGTGAACCAATGCATGGAAGATCTTCCTGTCTCTCCTTTGTGTAACTGCCTTTTAAATAAATTTTTTTAAAAAGTGAGGGTGGAATGATGAGAGCCAGGAAGTTAAGGGGAATGCAGCCATAACTAGGTAAGTGAGGAAGGAGTGGGTTTGGGGATGGGGAGACGTATTGCGCTGGGAGGGCTTGCTGAG